GACTGCGTACGGTCGGTGAGGAAGGAGGAGAACCACCGCATAACAGTGCCTCCCACTCCCAACTCACCCAAGCGCCGCAGCATGATACCGTGGTCCACGGTATCAAAAGCCGCTGAGAGGTCCAAAAGAACTAGGACAGAGGAATAACCCCTGTCCCGGGCCCTCCAGAGATCATTCACCAACGTGACCAATGCCGTTTAGACTGTTTCCTCCAGGTGCCGAGGGAGTTGCTGCGCAACCACACTCTCAACAACCTTCGCCACAAAGCGAAGGTTGGAGACTGGGCGATAGTTAGCCAACACATCTGGGTCCAGGGAAGGCTTCTTAAGGAGGGGCCTCACCACCGCCTCCTTTAAGGCTACAGGGAAGGCACCCTCCCGTAGAGAAGCGTTTATAATTCCCTGGAGCCAGGCTCGTGTACCCTCCCGGGCCGCCAGTACCAGCCAGGAGGGGCACGGATCCAGTAAACATGTGGTTGCATTCAGCCTCCCCAGTATCCTGTCCACGTCCTCGGGAGCCACAGAGTCAAACTCCTCCCATATAATAGTCTCAAGACCTGCTCCCGTCTCCTCCCCCGGGGCCACCCAGTCGGAGTTCAAACCCTCTCGGATCCGAGCGACTTTGTCATACAGATATTGGGCAAAGTCCTCAGCCCTCCCCACCAGAGGGTCCCCCCCTCCCCTCAACTGAAGGAGAGAGCGGGTCACCCGGAAGAGGGCGGCTGGGCGGTTATCTGATGACGCAATGAGGGTGGAGTAGTAATTAGACCTCGCCACCCTCATTGCCACAAGGTAGGATCTAACATGCATCCTTACCTGTGCTCGGTCGGATTCAGTTCGGGAAGCCCTCCAACTGCTCTCTAGGCGTCTTTTCCGGCGCTTCATCTCTCTCAGCTCCTCGGTAAACCAAGGAGCTAGTTGAGATCTGCGTCGGGTCAGAGGCCGCAACGGCACGACTCGGTCCAGTGCTGCGGCTGCGGCCACATCCCAGGCCGCCACCAGATTTTCCGCCGAGTCGTGGACTAGATCCTCCGGATATGGCCCAAGCTCCGTCCGGAACCTCTCCGGGTCCATCAGGCACCTGGGACGGAACCATCTACGCGGTTCCGTCTCCCTGCGGCGGGGGGAAGCGGTTCGGAAGTCCATCCTAAGGAGTGCATGATCTGACCATGACAAGGGCTCTATAACTATTTCCCCCATTTCCAGATCATTCTGCCACTGGCCAGAGACAAAAATTAGATCTAGTGTATGTCCTCCCGTGTGAGTGGGGGCACGAACTAATTGGGTCAAGTCCAAGGTCGTCATGGAAGCCAAGAACTCCCGAGCTGCCGCCGATGTTTCGCCCGCCGATGGCAGGTTGAGATCCCCCATGACTATAAGTCTGGGGGTCTCCACTGCCACCCCGGCTATTACATCAGCCAGCTCAGGCAGGGCCGTTGATACATAGCAGGGGGCCAGGTATATAATCAACAGGCCCACTTGCACCCCTTGCCCCCACTTCACAAGGAGGGACTCTGCACCATCTATCTGAGGCACAGTGGTCTCCCTCGGACATAGGCTCTCCCTTATAATGACCGCTACCCCACCGCCCCTATCCCGGGCCCTCGGCTGATGGAATGCCTGGAAACCCGGCGGGCATAGATCAACAAGGGGAATTGATGTCCCTGGTGATGTTTGGCCAGAAGAGCAAATTCTACAGACATTGAGGACTCTTGTCCCGGACCAGAGGGTATATGTGGTGGACATAACGGTGGATCGGGACACTGCCCATTTTTATGTTCCATTGGAGTGGAAGACAAAGTGTTCCAGAGTGCTTTCAGCTTGAGAGCCTTCAATGGACTGAGGATATTAGGGCAGGGGTAATATTCCCGGTTATTTGGGCCACATTCTTGGCTAAACCATTGAGCCAGAAAAGGGAGACACATGCTTTGTTTACTGTATGGGCACCAGAGGCAGAGTTTATACAGGGTAGGGGAAGTCTGACCTCCATACAAAACGTGACTGCCAGTTATTGCGTGGGGGCTGAGTATAAGAAACTACATAAATTCTGTATATTATGGAACTATGAACCACCATTGTATAAATTATTTCTTATTTCAGTACGATGTAAATTGTATGTGTGTTTTGACCTCAAGTTTCTTTTTTGAGGTCTTTGCATTCTTGTATATGGGCACATATTGTTCTGAAGCAATGGTGTGCAATTTCTCTTGTCTTAAGAGCCACATTAGACTAGTTCTGAGTCCATAATCAAAAAATAAGCTGAACTAAAATCCTATTTTAGAGGTGCAGTATACACAAAGATACCTATAAATACACACAATAAAGTGAAGCCAGCTAGGTGACCTTGGACCAGTCACTTTCTCTCCCAGAAAGGAGGCAATGACAAACCACTTCTGACAAACCTTGGCAAGAAAACTTCAGGGACTTGTCCAAACCGTCTTCAAGAATTGGAAATAATTGAATGGAAAAAATAGATATAGATATAAATACTATACATAAAAGAGAAGGATATAAAAACATAGAAGAAAACAAAAGGTAATGTGCAGATAGTTTTTCTTACTGAACTTTGAACATATTTTGTTAACACAGTGCAAAATGCTAGCAGAACTATAAACAGTAAATCAATATTGAAAACTATAGATGAAATAAAAATAGGATTCTATGGAAAAAGAAACCTAAATCTTGGATGTTACGATTGTATATAACATTGTTATCCAAGAATGGTTTCCAATTAGAATCAAATTATGCATTCAATTTCTCTTCTTCTTCTTCTTCTTCTTCTTCTTCTTCTTCTTCTTCTTCTTCTTCTTCTTCTTCTTCTTCTTCTTCTTCTTCTTCTTCTTCTTCTTTCTTCTTCTTCTTCTTCTTCTTCTTCTTCTTCTTCTTCCTATTACTATTACTATTACTACTACTACTACTACTACTATTACTATTACTATTACTATTTAGGAAGTTATTCTTGGCATCAAAACAACTCCCATAATGTTATTAGTTATTCTTCCAAAGAAAGAATTACAGAGCTTTTCCAAAATAAGTATTTAAAATCTTTGCAGTCATTATCATATACAGTATTAGTAAAGTTTGAAGGAAAATATTGTTGGTGATATTTTATACAAATACTGTATCTCAGGCTGAGATATAGAATGACAACTTCAAAATCTGTTCTTTTGTACTATAAATAATTTCCCAGTATTCAGGGCTTTATAACATTGGTATCACATGTGACAAAAAGAACCCAATCTGTTTGTTATATTTCCAGCATCTCTTAGAGAAAGAATTACTCATTTTGGCAATCCAGGTTGGAGTAATATACCAATAATAAATTAAAATACTGCTTTAAAACTTTGTAAGGCATTCAGTACCTCAAACCCTTTGTAAGATTTAAAAAAGGGGGGCTCTGCTCACAAGCCAAATTATTGATAAGTGTCTAAAATTTAAAAAGGCAGGGACTGATGTGAATACATAATAGCATGAAGAACTGTTAGACTTCTTTTCAATCCATTCTGATTTTCTTTTAGCTGCACGAGTACAAGTCTTCAACCCATCGTATTTTTCAGCTGAACAATATTGCAAAAGCCCTTAAGTTTTTGGAGGACAGAAATGTAAGTAATTTATGTGATGGTGATTTATTCTGTTAACAAAAAATATGCTAAACATATGTGCTAAATAATTATGTCTGAATGCCAGGTCTACATACCATAGGCATTAAAATCTATTTGCTTGCAAAGAATAGACATTAAAATCTACTTTAGATTACTTCTAAAATATTGTAAAGGCTTCAGTTGGATTAAATGATTAGAAGAATGCAAGAAATACTTTTAATTGGCAGGCTCTGAACAATTGAAATTGCTTTGATTGAACTCCTTGATTTTTAAAAGTATTTTCAATTTTGTTAAGGATTATACTTTTCTATTAAAGAATAGTCAGAGTTCTAAAATAGTCCAGTAGCTGAAACAGCTTTCTTCCATATGTATTGAATTGCCATTTCCATAATCTTCAGCCAATGTGTGGTCACTGCTGCTTGAACAATGCCAAAGTTGAAGTTCCAAATTATTGAAGGATATAAAATTAGAGAAGATCTTCAGAATATTATGACCTCTTAATTTCCAAGACTGAAATCTAGAAAATGTGGCTTGGGAACTGTGGACTCACAATTTCGAGAAAAGCTCTTCTACAGGGAATAAAGTGTACACTATATGCATGCAATATAAAATAACAGTACTCTTTATTTATTTTATTTATTTATTTAATTGAATTTGTACCCCGCCCTTCTCCTTGCGGACTCAGGGCGGCTGACAGCCTGATAAAAACCACTACAAAAATACCCCAAAAACTATCATTAAAACAAAGTTAAAATGAAATATTAAATTTGGCCGTATTAATTATTAAAATTGCTTTTAAAACCCCACTAAAAATTTCCCCTTAGGCCAGT